GATACGAACCCATGTATCGTTACCCGAGTCCTCTCTGATCGTTACCGAGCGTAACGCCGTAGTTGACGTCCACTTTCTCAGAGGGCAGATTAGGACAGACGTCCCCCGAAGCCGGATGGCCGCTCTCAGGTTTCTCTCTGCTTTTACCATACGATCGCAGCGCTCCGCGGCTAGCGGACGATCTGTGAAGCACAGGTCGTTACATAGGGTGCATTCGGGGAGCACGCTATTAGCACAATTAAGGCTCAGTCACAATGAGAGAAATAAGGAATAAGATAAAGGAATTAGGAATAAGGCATGTTGCATCTCACTTTAATGTACGTGTACTGAAGTGAGATGCGACATTCCCTTATTCCTTATTCCTTTATCTTATTCCTTATTCCTCTCATTGTGACTGAGCCCTTATCGTCCAAAACTGTTCGAGGAGACGCTTTGTGGCGCTGTGATATACGATGATGACGTCACTGTAAAGGCAGCGTGACGTCATCACTCGCGCTATTTTCGCTATTATTTTCGAGGTGAGGCACGAAATACTATTGGCGCTTAAGCTGCGTTCGGGGAGCTTGCTATCGCTGTCGCGCTATTGGCTCCTCGAACAAAGTTCATAGCGTTTGCGTTTATAGCGTTAATAGCGTCTCCCCGAATGCACCCTTGAGGCATACCCCCACTACGGGAGTTTGGGCCAAAGCACATATGACAGTCGGTAGTCGTGGACGTAATAAGTAAGGGCCTAAGCAGAATGGCTGTCTTATAACCTTAAGGGTTGATTTATAATAGCCGTAACCGTTGATTTAAGCCGTAATCTTTAATAGCGAATTCGGACGCTTGCACTAGTGCACACTGAGTGCGCACTAAGGCTTGTTCTTAATCAATTGTTATATTTACAGATCATCTTAAATACTTCTTAAGGCGCGGGTCCAATGAAGATCCGTAAACCTAACCCTAACCGTAAGACCGTAACCGTAAGAAATCGCCTCCTATCGTCTACAATGACAGCCCATAATCGTAACGAAACGTAACATAAAGAACCGTAAATCCATAACGCAAATTCGTGTTTGCGTCGATTCTAACCTCTGTGTTAACTGTTACAAAGTGCAAAAATTTCGCTATAATGGATAATTTACCATGTTAGAAAAACAGTTCTTGTGGCTATTAACTTAATTGCGATAATTCTGCAGTTATTGCGGAAAAAGAAGAAAAAGATTAAACGAAAATATTGGGTTCGGCCAATGTTATTACAGCGGAAGCAAAAAAGCCATTTTCATACTCTCTTTCAGTTTATGAAAAACAATGACGATGAACAGTTTTTCTTCACAATTCGAAAGACTATCAGAATTAGTGCAAGAGTCTCTGATAAAAAGAAGTATTTGAGAGCCTCTGTCGCCGGAACATTGATTATGTATTACTTTGTAGTAAGTATATTTTGTAATACTTACAATAATTTGTTGTGTTTTTTAAACTATTATAACACGAATATTTTATTTTATAGTTATCTTGCTCATGGTTGCAGTATGCAAATAACTGTTGCATGGAACTTTTATGTGTCAAAATCAACTGTGAGCAAAGTTATCCGTGACACTTGCAAGATTATATGGGACAAGTTATCGCCTATATGTTTGCCAAGACCTACTGCTGACGATTTCAGAAGGTACTCACGAGATTTCCAAGAGTTGCGGAATATGCCGAATTGTTTCGGGGCAATTGATGGAAAGCACATCGTTGTACAAGCTCCTTACAATACTGGGATCAGTTTCTTCAATTATAAAAAAAAACATTCAGCATTGTGTTAATGGCAGTTTGTGATGCTAACTACATTTTTACTCTTGTTGATGTTGGTGCTTTTGATGGTTCACAAAGTGACGGAGGAGTCTTTAAAGAATCAGCTTTTGGAATAGGTCTTGATGACAACAAACTGGAAATACCTGACGATAGCTAGCTGCTTACCAGAAACCGACACAAAGTTTCCATATTATATGGTTGCAGAAGAAGGGTTTCCTTTGAAAAGCTATATTATGCGACCATATCCTGGAACTAAATTGGACAAGACACATAAAACTTTCAATTACCTTCTTTCTCGAGCACGTCGTGTTATCGAAAACTCTTTTGGCATTTTGGCCAGTCGTTGGCGAATCTTCCGATCAACAATTATTGCACATGTTGATACTGCAGAATGGATTGTGTGTGCAGGATTGTGCCTTCATAACTTCCTCCGGATGTCAGAATTAATCTCAAAATCAGAAAATGCTACGTACTGTCCTCCAAATTACGCTGATACATGGGACGACAATGGGAATGTCATATCTGGACAGTGGAGACAATGCGAAGAGAATATCATCTTTAGGAACATGAGAAGAATGGGAGCTAATAATGCTACACGCAAGAATGTTACCTTACGTGACACGCTTGCCAAGTACTCCAGAAGGCGCAGTTTCGTGGCAAGAAGCATTATATTACGAGAGGATCATTTTAATTGTACAACTCGCGAAAATATTAACTATTCAGAACGACATATATTTTGCAGAATGTTTATTATTTTTTTATTTTAAATGATTCATTAAATAACAATCTTATTATGTATTTCACATTGTATCTTTATTAATAAACTTTGGATAACAGCTACATTAAAAGTCTCTGTTATAATATACAATAGACATAACATAAATAAATATCTTAATTTGCTATTAGAACACATTTCTCAACAATTATAAACATATAACCTCACACCTGTTCTGAATGCAACTCTGAATCTAACCTCTCTTCGTTACCATAACCGCGGTCGTAAAAGTTCAAATTAACCAACTTTTACGGTTACGGTCTTACGGTTAGGGTTAGGTTTACGGATCTCCATTGGACCCGCGCCTTTAGTCTATAAAATGATTTGTACAGCATCCATATAAATATTACAGATTGTTTTTTTTGGCTAAAAAGTTTTTAAATGTGTATTTAAGCAACTTTAAATATAAGAATAGATTATAAACAAGCCTTAGTGCGCACTCAGTGTGCACCAGTGCAAGCGCCCGAATTCGCTATAAGAAATTGACCAATCACAGTCGAATGTGAGAAGAATAATCGACTGTGATTGGTCAATTTCTTAAAGATTACGGCTTAAATCAACGGTTACGGCTATTATAAACCAACCCTAAGGCAGTGTTTTATGCCTTAAGTCTTTGTCTTATGTTATGCTAGGTCTACAATGCGAGTCGCAAAGTCGTGAGTCGCAAGAATTGACCAATCACAATCGAATTTGAGGAGAATAATCGACTGTGATTGGTCAATTCTTGCGACTCACGACTTTGCGACTCCCATTGTAGACCCAGCATAACGCACAATACTGTGTTAAATGTTTCCTGTCTTGTGTAGTATACGTCGCGTATACTACACAAGACAGGAAACATTAACACAGTATTGTGCGTTACATAAGACAAAGACTTAAGGCATAAAACACTGCTTTAAGGTTATAAGACAGCCATTCTGCTTAGGCCCTAACGCACAAGCTTTGGCGTATCCTGATCTGTCAGGTCGGGGACTACGACCGTCGTATATCGCTACGCCATGTTATGTGCTTTGACCCTTCCGCGACCTGTGTATACGACCATGCCTTACGAACGGCTGCAGTCCACTTGACGCTACAAATGCTTCGAATTATTCCTTGATTGGTCAATTAGTAAAATTCTTTGTTCTGATTGGTCAATCAAACACTGTGAACCATTTGTAGCGTCAAGTGGACCGCAGCCTAAAGCGGGGAGCACACACTTCTGTACAACGTATAATGCGTAAGCATAAGAAAATTGTTTGGTCCATACACATGTGCATAAGAAAATAGACCAATCAATTTTCTTATGCTTACGCATTATGCGTTGTGCAAAAGTGTGTGCTCCCTGCTTTAAGGTATTCCTTTCACGGAGGAGCGTATTTGGTAGGCACTTAAGCAGGGCCTCAGCAAACTCTTGTATATTGCATTAAACTTATATAAAATCAAGTTATAATTGATTATTATGTTTAATTATAAGAAAAAAGTAAAAATATTATGTGTATTTAGAAATTTTTCATTTTTCGGTAAATTTTACTGTCAGAACAATATGGCAACGCTGCGCTTTTCAGGGCGCCGATTGTAAAATGTGAAGTTGATAACAAAAGTGTCAATGTAAGTGTCAATTTCATTAATCAAAGAACATTGTGACATTTTCTTTTATTTTTATCACAAAGAGAGATTTTATAATAATAATGAGTGATATAAGAAACATAAAGTGAGGAGTAATGTGGGCAAAAATAAGGGACAATTTGTGAAAATAAAAGTTGATAATAAACTGTATGTACGTTATGAATGAAGTGTGACATGAGCGCACAGCTTGCAGCGCCAGCGTTGCCAAATAATTCCTTGAAAGTCGCCATCAAAAATATTCATCTATAAACCACATTTCAAGTCAACTTTTAACATAAATATTTTGTTTAAATATTCGGTGACTCTGTATTTTTATCGGCCCTATCGAAAGTATAGAGTTTAGCGAATATGTAGCGCAGTTAATATTTAATATCTCAAGATATTTGATAAACAAATTATTACATTGAAATGTGAAAAATAAACTTTTTCGATAACGTCACATATAAAATATCGAATTTTCAAAGTCATAATTCTTCTTTATATGTTCGGTAATGTGGTTTAATTTTTTTCTGGCGTAAAGATATGCATTTTAACTTTCTCGTACCAAAAAATCAGTTAATTCTAAGACTTTGGTGTCATGAAAGGAATACCTTAAAACTTTGTTACGTGCAATGGCTTTAACATTGGCTGCGTTCAGCCGATACTCCGCTAGCCTAGCAATCGTGAGCAGTCGCTCGTTTCCTCTCCTTTGATCCAATGGATTAAAAAAAGAGGAAAAGAGCGACTGCTCACGATTGGCTAGAGACCCTCTATGCTAGGCTAGCGGAGTTTTGGCTGAACGCAGCCATTGTGCAAGGGGCTTAACTGTTTTTGACAGGGTTGAAGGCGCTAACGCTCCTAACCTAAAAGGAGCAAATAAAAAAAACATTAACTGTTAATATCTCGCTTCGCAGGGCAGAGCGACATTTTTTCTGCCAGATTCTTTCGTTTCACACAAAAACGCGTTGATTAAGCCTTAAGTTCAACGAAATCGGTGAAGAGGTCACTATTCTTCAGATTTACCTCGTATTTGTTGGAAAAATGGATATTCTAAAAGCGGAAATAATAAAGAAACGCAAAGAGCTAGAAGAAAGTCATGTCTTGGTATGTACATGTATTCTATAATTGTATAGTCTTGCGTGATTGTGTATTAATATTTATTTTAAAATATCTTTCTCAGGAAAATAACAAGAAGTACTTTAAGAGAAGTCAATTGATATCAAAGCAGCAGGAAGTGCATGAAACTGACAAGGGAAATAATGAAGCTGTTCCTTCAAATGTCAGTCAACAATCGGAAAATCATGTAACAGACAGCAGTTCCGAACATTTGCTGTCCAGGCAAGAAGTAATTAGGCGATTACGCGAGCGGGGAGAGCCCATATTGTTATTCGGCGAATCTGAGATAGAAGCGTTCAAGAGATTAAGGAAATGTGAAATCCTTGAGCCAGAAGTAAATAAGGTAAAGTATTCATCTGCTTTACATTACTTCCATCAATTAAAAAACAGCTTACTAAAAAATAGAAATTTGATTGCAATAATTTGTCAACAGGGTTTCAGAAATGATTTTCAAGAGGCTATGGAACAAGTGGATCAAGCGTATCTCAATGAGATTTTGACATCTTCCAAGTCTCAAAATCTTGATGGAAAGGGAGATGTAAATGTACCTGACGAGGGCGTCACTTATGAAGACATAGAAAAGATGTCGACTAAACTGAACAAGGGAGACAAAGACTTCGATATGAATGTTATCACCCTATTTGTGCAATATCTAGTCCAAATGTGGGGCAATCAATTAAACAGCCGGTCGACTGCTGAAAAGATGAGCACAAAAGGAAAGATGAATAGCGCCACGTACGCTCAAACAAGAGAGTATTTAAAACCACTTCTGAGAAAATTGAAGAATAAATCTCTTCCAGAAGATATAACAGACAGTTTAACAGAAATTGTTAAGCATTTACTACAGCGAAACTACATATTGGTACATTTTAATTACATATAAAATATGTATCCTGTCAGTGTAATAAATATAATAATAACAAATATCTGTATCTGACAATATCAAATAGACATATCAAAGCAGTAATACCAAATTCTTATTTCAGGCTAGCGACGCTTATTTACAAATGGCAATAGGCAATTCTCCATGGCCTATTGGTGTTACTATGGTCGGTATCCATGCCCGTACTGGTAGAGAAAAGATCTTCTCCAAGAATGTTGCTCATGTCATGAACGATGAAACTCAAAGAAAGTATATTCAAGCACTCAAAAGATTGATGACTAAATGTCAAGAATATTATCCTACTGACCCATCACGTTGTGTAGAGTACTCAAAAAATTAGATATCTACGATAAAATGTACAAAGTAAAGGAAAGCACGCACTATTATAAGTTTGCATGTAGAAATGGACATCGTATAATCATTAATAGAAATTCTCAACAGATTATTATAGAAATCTTTTACAAAATAAATTTATTACCAGTTTATAACATTCTTTTTAGATAGTTAACAAAATGATATAATGTATATATGTTTTTATTGTATACACTTTTCGTGTATACTTAATATCGAAATGATACTAAGATTCACTATGATAATATTCGCATTCAGAAAAAATAAAATTTTACATTATTGTTCTACATTACATGAATTTAATATCTCTTCAAATATTATATGAATATAAAATGTAGCTTAAATAAGCAGTAAGATAACATCGAACATTTATTCGATTATTACATATCTACACACTTCAAAATCACTAATCAAAAAAGGAACTAATTTAAGTGAGATGTTAGTTCATTTGTTTTATTCACAGCAGCCTCGACAGCATTCATTATAGATCCCCTGTAATTATCAAGATAAAAATCAAGATTATTTAACAATTAAATCATTAAATGCATGTATAGGTATAGATCTGGTAATAACCATACTACCTCTCATGGACGTGGATTAAACTAAATAAAAAGTTCTCCCGTTTTGCAGTTTTTTCAATTAATGAGTAAAAACAGTAGTCTTAAAACACAGTATTCAGTTTGACTCGCTCTATCCGCTCACGAAAAGTGATACGATTATTACCAGATACCCTGCATATGCATGTAATGCAATAACTAAATAAATAAAATATATATATATATTACGGACGAAGTCCGCATAGTGTGCAGTGTCGGCATTGCCTGGGCAATGTCAGCACAACGCGACTGGGTAAAGTAATTTATTAACGAACATTGCCCGGTTTATGTAGTCGCGTGGAAAGTGTATGCATGAAGGCAGTATCGCCCCCCTGCGGGGTTCCACTACCGTTAAACTAGACATAGTGTGCCTTGCAAAGTACATGCGTGAACTTTTCATACGTGGAAAGTTGTAAACCCATGTGGCAATTCGTCTCGCGTGGAAACGAAGCCCTTCTCCTGTCTACATAAGGCTAACTGTTAATTTTCGATATTGCCCACTTGGACCCGAGCAAAATCCGCAATGTGATAATAGCCGTTGACATTGCCATCGCTGGATGGGCAGTGTTAACTTTGCCCACATCAAACCGGGCAATGTCCGCTAATAAACTACTTTGCCCAGTCGCGTTGTGCAATCCTGACATTGCCCGGGCAATGCCGACACTGCACACCATGCGGACTTTGCCCGTAACATATATATTGTATATACATTGTACACAGGATGTATAAAAAGGTAAAATCAATCAACTAGCAGGTGAAAGAGAAGCTTGAGTAGAGTATGTAATGTGTATAAACTTTTCTTGTATTTGCCATGGTTTAGTAAATACAACGCTTCATACGGTATGGTAGGTTTTACAGCTGCAAAATAAGCACATAAAACATTTATTATCTACATTCATTGCCATCAATCTTCTTCTAAACACTATTTTTTGAACACCCATTTAGACTGTTTACACTGATTGTAAGTGTATAATGTTGTGATCTAATTGTATTTGCCGCATCCGTACTCTGTCCATACCTGCTGTCGTCATGCCTCCAGGTCTCATTTAAAAGACGATAGTGTTCGCTACAAAAAGTAAAGAGTGGAGGAGTGAACAATCAAGTGCTCGTACACAGATAATTACATCGTGATCACAGAAAGAAAACAATGAGGAATATCGCGATAAGCATTATCTTTAAGGACTTTGTGATGGCAATGCTGCTACAGCTGAAAGGAAACACCAGATGCGATATAGACAGAGTATGGACATAGTAAACACAATTAGATCACAACATTATACACTAAATGTAAACAGTTTAATGAGTGTGTAGAAGATAGTGTTCAGAAGATTGATTATTGTAAAACTTGACAACAACAATGACAGTAACAAATGTATGCAGATAAATGTATTGTATGCTTATTTTGCAGCTGTAAAATCTACTGTGCATATAAAATGCTGTATTTACACTATCACAATCAATTAATCTTTATTAACTTCAGCTAAGAAATAGTAATGCTGTATTTAACCATAGCGAGTACAAGAAAAGTTTATGTACATTACGTATTCTACTCAAGCTCTTCTTTCACCTCTTAGTTGGTTTACTTTACCTTTTTTTATACGCTCTGTATAAAATAAAGAAATGAATAAAATAAGTTAAGTACCTAACTCCTCCCACTTCCATAGCATGAATGCCGGTAATAGTAGTACCTCCAGGTGAACAGACTTCGTCCTTCAACTGGCCAGGATGTCGCCCAGTTTCGAGTACCATTTTTCCAGCTCCTACCAGCACCTGTGCTGCAAATTTAGTCGCCATTGGTCTTGGCACACCCATTCTCACAGCTCCGTCCGCTAATGCCTCTATGACGAGATATGCCTGAGTAAAAATAAATTGAAATAATATGCAACTATTTTCATTTCTCCAATCGTGACGATTATTACAACTTACAAATGCTGGGCCGCTACCTGATACGCCACCAATGCCATTCATAAGACTTTCCGGAACATTTTGACTCATGCCAATGTAAGAGAATAACATATCTATCAATTCTAGATCTTTCGACTCAGCGTTGTTACTGCAATAAACTAAAAATTACACTTATGTTAATGCACAAGTTAATCTACACTACATCGCAGCTTTCTAACATACCTGTAATTCCTTCCCCAACCATCATGGGTGTATTTGGCATGGATCTAATTATCCTTGGTGAAGTCACAATTGTTGAAAGTTTCTAAAAACATTTCATATAAGTTGTCATGAAAATGGAAATGTTATACAAAATTTAGGTAATTATGAAGGAGAGGGGCTATCTTACCAATTTGGCTGTAACTTCACAATTTTGTGTATTTTGGTGCATAAAACATGAATCTGTAAGTTAAAACTGTCGCTCTCAATTTTAGGAAAAACGTTATTAAGTACCCCAGCAAACACAGTAATCACCGAGTGCGCAATTTGCTATCAAATTGCGCACTCGATGATTACCGTGTTTGCTGGGTACTAAAATTGACAGTTGCGTGCTTAGGATGTCTGTTTTACCGACATAATGTAGACGCACATGATCATACGTAGTGACGTAAAAGTGCATGGAATTACAGTAATAGTGCAGTATAACAGCAACCTCTCATAATAGTCTGGCGCCTTACTTTAATTGTGTGCTATTATTTGACTTTGTATTTATATAGACTTTGCAATATACCAATTATTTTCTGCTTTAAAAAAAGCATAAACTCTATTTCTATTACATAGTTAAAACTATATACTATATACTAAAACTATATACTACCATATAGTTAAAAAAGATAATAGAAATAGAGTTTACGCTTTTTTTAAAGCAGAAAATATTTGGTATATTAAAAAGTCTATATAAATACAAAGTATAATAAATACAAACTCAAATAATAGCACATAATTAAAGTAAGATGCTAGACTATTATAGGATAGGTTGTCGTTATACTGTATTATTACTGTAATTTCATGCACTTTTACGTCTCTACGCATGATCATGTGCGTCTAGATCATGTCAGTATGACAAACATTCTAACCACGTAGGCAACTATCAATTTTAGTACTTTTCCTAAGTGAGAGCGACAATTTTAACTTATAGATTCATTACAACTAAACTTAATGAGCTTATCAAATCATGGCACACCAATGGTATCGTCGATGACCGTACTTATAAATTCCTTAACTGCACAAATGGTAATCTTCCGAGATGTTTTCCCTTGCGAATCATTGTTTCCGCTGTGGGTAGTCCACTTTATAATGTAGCGCGTTTCATCCATAACATATTACATAAATCCATACCGAAACCTAAGTCATATATTAAAGACAATTGGACCTTTGTGTCTGAGATCAACAATTTTAAAATTAATCCGGACGAATTGATGGTCTCTCTCGACGTCACTGCATTATTCACTAATATACCTAAAGATTCAGTTATGGATGGTATAAAGAATAGATGGAAATATATTTCCCGTAATACTGATTTCAATTTAGAACAATTTTTATACGCGATTGACCTCATCCTATTTTCAACAAGTTTTCAGTTTGACGAGCAATTTTATGAACAGGTTTTCGGTAGCCCCATGGGTTCCCCTCTATCTCCTATCCTTGCGGACATTGTTATGGATGATCTTGAGACTTTCTGCTTGAAACAATTAAGTTTTGCGGTCCGGTTTTTTTGTCGTTATGTTGACGATGTCTTTGCGATTGTTCCGAAGTCTAATATTGATGAAATTTTAACGGTTTTCAATAATTATCATCTTCGATTGAAATTTACCTACAAAACTGAAGAAAATAATTCAATCAATTTCTTGAATACGACTGTCATCAGGGATTATGACACCTTAATTACTAACTAAACCTACCTTCTCTGGACGATACGTTAATTATTTTTCGAGTCAAAAATACAAGTTAAACACGATAACAAGCTTGGTTGACCACGCGATCTTATTATCCGACAAACGGTTCCACGAGAACAATATTGCTAAAATCAAAGAAATACTTCTGAACAACTGCTATCCTCCACATTTGATTGACAAGTTTATTAGAGTGAGATTGAAACTTCTCAGTCACCGTGTTAACACATCTAACACAAGCGACATTATACGGCGAATACCGGAAAATTGTATAAAGGTTCCCTACATTAAGGGTCTCAGCGAGAGACTTTTGCGTATCTTTAATGATTGCGGTCTTCATGTTCTTTATACAGTTCCTAAGTCCCTCGATTGCGTCATAAGGAGAGGGAAAGATAGACTCGATTGTTTCAAGCAGACTAACTTAATTTATAAAATTGACTGTGGAAACTGCGATGCCACGTATATTGGCCAAACCAAAAGACATATCGAAACACGCATTAAAGAGTACTTCCTTTGATCACGAATTCGAATGGCATAAAACAGAGATATTACATAGCGAAAAACAAATTAGAAAACGCGAGATCGCTGAAATGTTTTTCATAAAACAAAATCAGTGTGCCTTTGTCACCCGTGGACTGCTGACATGCTTTTCCCACATTTACCATCATTTTTACATATGACGCACAAACTTGTAAGTTTATATTTTATACTTTTCTTTCTATATTATTTTTATCATTTAGTAAGTTTATCATTTTGTAATTTTCATCACCTTTTAAACTTGTCAATTTATATTTTATATTTTTCTTTTTATATTTTCTCATCTTTTTAGTTCTGGACCTTTTATATTATATATATATTTTTTTTCCTTTTATTTTTTCATTTAGTTCTTGACTTTTGGATTGTTGGCACAATGCCAGGACTGAATTGTTTGCAAGTAATATAATTTGAATACTTAATAAGAACCGAAAGTGACGGTCAAAACGTCGTGAGATAATTAAAGAATTTTATATAACCAGTCAGCGTCGATTATTACCACTCCTTCTTATAGATTCATGTTTTACGCACCAAAATACACAAAATTGTGAAGTTTCAGCCAAATCGGTGAGGAAGCCCTCTTCTTTATAATTACCAAAATTTGTTTTACTCACAGTATACAAGATATTGAGAGATACTCCAGCAAGCACCGAAACAAAGAGCTTGCTCTCGAATTTTTCACCAGCTTTTCTCCCAACAACAGTTTCAAGTACGTCGTCCAGCATATGCGGTTTCACTGTCAGAAATATAATGTCACAGTTGCACATGACGTCATTGTTTTTCAATGTTGGATGAGCACCTAGATCCCTCCAAAATCCATGTGTTCTGTCTGTACGACCAGAAACCCAGACATTATCTGCTTTTAATATACCTTTTGCGAGAGAAAGAAAAAAATGTATCATTCAGGATTTCTGTCTTGCTTTAGTCTGACTTATCAGTGAGTGATGAGCAAGTGTGTTTACCTTTGTGAATTAAACCAGCGCCTATGGCACTAGCCATATTTCCGCCACCGATAAAACCGACTTTAATGGATTTTAAATACTGTTCCGCCATAGCTGGTCACTTCTTTCTTTCTTTCTTCTTCTATTAAATTGGCGCCTGCCGCTTTTCAGCGGACAATTTTGGCCAGATTTGTCACTGTTTGTTAAACAAAGTTTGAATCACTGTTAGCGTAGCGAAGTCTAAATGGAAATTACTGAAAATCTGAGTGGAATCAATGCAGACAGTAAAGCCTGGTCTACAATGGATGTATACAATCACAGTCTTGCGGTCGAAGAATAATGAACCGTGATTGGCCAATTCTTACGACTTACGACTTAATACACCACTTAATACATCCATTGTAGACCAGGCATAACAGTCGCAATACTTCAACTCACGAACCCATAGCTGGTCACGCGAGCAATGTATTTTAAAGGCCATCGCACACAAAATGCATAGCTTAGTATGCCCGTTCTAGAGTGACCTGAGGATGATCCTACTTCTCTGGTCGTATACATAGGTCTGGCAACTCCAGTGGTGGGGGGTGACACCTCATAGAAGTTAGCCGGACAATTTCGACTTACGACATTTTTTTTTTTACGAATCGATTGTTAGTCGTTTGTTATTGATTGTTAGACTAATTAGAACGTTTGTTAGTTAATAGTTTTTACGTAATCACAAAAATAATTTTTAGTGTTAATTTAGCCGGTAAATATAGAATTCTTTACAATTTCCGATTCAAACCGTGGTCAATCGATGCGGAATCGTTTGTTAGTTTCGAATATACTAAGTAAAACGTTTGTTAGATCACGGTTTCGCTAAAAAAA